TACGGCGAGTGGTGGCTCACGCTGCGGGGGGCGGACTCCGTCCACGCGGAACGCGCCCGGGAGGCGTTGCGGCCGCGGGAAGGCAAAGGAGAAGGGGAGGGCGAGGGCGAGCGAGGGGGGGAGGCTGCTTCCCTCCCCCTTTTTGCCCCGTCGCCGGCCGCGCCCCTTCTCGTGAAGTCCACCCCGTGGCGGTCGCGTGCGGAGGCCGAGGAGCAGCTCGTTCGCGACCTCACCCTCCGCCTTCACGGGCCTCTTTACCACCTCACCTTGCTTCATCTCGACTGCTTTGATCTGACGCCGAGTCGGATGCGGGTGCTGCTCTTTGAGGGCGTTCTTCCACTGAAACGGAACTTCCGTGGGGCCCCTACGGAGGCCGACCCCTCCATGGATGGCGAATCCGCCCCGGCGAGCTTGGACGGGCTGCTGGAGACGCTTTCCTTGTCCAATTGCAATATCGGAACGGCGGGGTTGTTGGTGCTTCTTTTGGCGCTCACAGAGGATGGCGGGAGGGGGTGCACAACCGCGCTGGATCTCTCCTGCAACCGCCTCACCAGCATCTCGCTCGAGTGCTTCACCGCGCTTCTGGAGTTTACGAAGGTGAAGCGACTCGATCTTCGCCATAACCCGCTGCACGCCCCAAGAAGCGCGGAATTTATCAGCTTCCTGACGGAAGGCTGTCAGGCACTAACGGAGCTGAGTTTGTGCTCGACTGGACTTTCACGCGCTCAAATTCGCGGCTTGCTGCATGTGCTTCCGGAGATGCCGAATCTACGGGTTCTCTTGCTTGATTTTCTTGATATTCCGCTTGAAATGGCGGTGGAAATCCACTCCGCGGTTCGTAAATCTCGACTTCAATACATTTCGCTGACGGGGTGTGATGTAAATAAGCATCCAACCCTCATGCACGAACTGGTAGCTTGCTGTACAAGGAACCGGCAAGCCGAAGGAGTGGGGATCAACGCTTCCCCATATGCTTCCTTTTTTGAGGAACTTTTTAAAAAAATGGAAGCGAGGGGGTGGACGCCATTTCGGAGGTCATCCTTGACTGGCGATTTCGAACCCTACACGAATAACGACCCCTCACTTTTTACTGTCGCTCACCCTATAGAGTAATAATGTATAGCTCTTCTTTTTTGGTTCACTTCATATGTGATATCGCGGTTTGCCTTATCTTTCGTCGTGCAATGTCAGCTAAGGAAGTAGGAACTGCGTGTGAAATAAGTTTTCATGACAACTCAGCATGTACAATCCTCCATGATGACAAAGAAAAAATCTCATATAAATTACGTTAGCTTCGTCCAATCTCGAAACGCGAGAGAGGATGAGGGAGATGAAATTTACGAAACAGGTTCAAATCAGTAAGACATGATGAAAAAGAAAACTTGGACATTTTTGTTATCCTTTTTTAGCTGGCGACTCCAGTCTTCTGCCCATTAAAAGATAGGTACAGTTGTACATTTTCACCCCCACCCCCCACACCCCCATCCTATCGATGATGCTTCGTCGTTCCTTTGCTGCTTTATCTACAAAAACGAATCTAGGAGACGCCGGAACTCGGATGGGTTCCCAGCAAAAAGTTCTGGAGATCAAATCCCCATTGTCCTTGCTTCGGATGTGCTATCGTAGTATTGACATTTGTGTAAAGTCGCGCCACGCTCGCAACTTCTTCAAAAAGCGCCTTATTGAGCAGTGGGCGGAGAAGAGTAAGGAGACGGATCCGGAGAAAATGCGCTTTTACATGGATTTAGCAGGATCGTTTCTGCAGGCCCTACACACCGAACGCAACCCAAAGCCAGGTATGGTCATCAACTTTCAGCTTTCTCGTCGGGTTGCGCATGATAAAAAGATAGAGGAGAAGATAACCAAAACCAACATCAAGCGCGTTGCAAAGATACCAAGGGGAGGGAATAACGGATAGTACAGAAGTTTGAATTGTTGAATATGATGCCATCTATGGTGCAAAAGGTATGCATTAAATACAGGTACTTCAAAGGAGAGAGGTCTAACCCTCTGTCGGATGTTTCTCACGTTTGGGTTGAAGGCATGGAAAAAAGTCGAGAAGACGACAAAAATGATCAAAAGGTTTTACCTGATCATACACATATCGTAGGAAGATTAAGCTTCCAATTTTGCTTATTATGGAAATATTGAGCGGTTTTTTATTTCTTCTTCACCTCAAACAATTCAAAGAACCCTCTTCACTCTTCAGGAAGCAAACATATATCATTATATAAGAGATCTAAAAACTCTCCCTCGCGGATTGCTTTGCAATAATACCGCGTGTTGCCCACTGCTACCGCAGCTCTCCATGATTAAGGATTTAAACGGCCTGAGCAGTGCAAAAGGCAATGATATCAACCACTTATCCGTTTACCCTCGTTGTTTGAGCTCCTCCGGCTGTATCGCGGTGCTTCCAGCAACCAGTTCTCATGATGCCTATATCGCCCATTGCTCTGTGTTGCCGTGCTCGCCAACGGCATGGAAAGCCTCACCACAGATGTCTTTGGCCTTTGAAGGAGAGCCTATTAGCAATTCCAAACAACATTCCGACCGCACCCCAAGCTCCCAGACGTTCAATCAGGCAAAAGGGGGGCAAAGCGAGATGCCCAGCCGTATCTACTTCTCCCTTTGCATCCACCGTGTTCTGTGCTCTGGGGGTTGCCCGGATGGGGAGCCTCTCTCGCTTTCCCTGGAGGAGGAGATCCCTTTTTTTTTTGAAATTCCCCCCTCAATGCAGGCAAAGCGGGCGGAACCCAGCTGCCAACGGGGGGATCCCGGCGAGATCCTCGCAACAGATGCGCTTCGGTGGGCAGGACCAGGGCTGCTCGTCGTCCTGGGCGCCCTCCGAGGGGAGGTCCTTCTCGTGCGAACCTCGCTAACGGGGCGCGCTCCCAACATGGAAAAGCTTCGTAAAGACGGGATGTCAACGACGCGTTGGGGCCCCAACGGAACCCCACCTTATCGTAATCGTCATAACGATTGCCGTGATTTCGACGAAGCGGTGGTGCTGCGGGATGTTCGAGTAACGGCCCTCTCCACCGTGGGGGTGCGGTGGGGGTTGCCGGATAGCGAGCGGGTGAGCGGCGTCGTCGCGCTCGTTTATCACTCCTCCGTGCGGTTGATTCATGTCGACTCCCTCTTAGCCCCGAGTGGGGAATCGATGGTGGAAAAATTACCAAACGAACGCCGTCTCGCGAAGAAATTCGTGTCGGTGAGCATCACGGTGGGAGCCTTTCCTGAGGAGAATCGGTTTCAGCGGGAAGGGGTGTTGCTCTGCGGCTGCGCCCCCACCTGCTGCGTGAGCGTCTACCTGTGGTCAGCCCCCACAAAGGAAGTGGAACTCCTCCGCGAGGTGGTGATGGGCGAGGGGGTTAGTTTTTTCGGCATCGCCGCGGAAAATCCCGCGAATTTGGCGATGAACGGGGACGTTTCCTTCGCCGTGGTGGGGTCCATGCGGGGCAGTCAAGAAAACGGGCCTGGCGCGGCGGCGTTTGACGCCGCGCCAGAGGGGGCTTCTTCGGATCCCGCCGGCCTCATCTCCCTTTCCGTGAAGGGGGCCTCTCCAGGCCCGCGTGGGATCCTTGCTGAGATCGAGGAACTCGTTACGACGCGTCGGGTCCATCCAACCCCGCGTGAGCCGCTGAACATGGTGTACAACCTCCTCCCTCCCCACGCGCGAGGCGACGCGGGGGAGGCCGTTGGGACGTTGGAGGATCTCACCCCCGCCCTTTCCGTCGCGGCGCCGAGTTTATCCTCGGCGAGGTCGCCATCCTTCCTGCTGGTCGTGTCGGTTCGACGGCGGGCCGCCTCGCGAGGGG